AGACAGCAGATGATTTATAAATTTCAGTTGTGTCTTATTTTATTCGTAATCTTCGTATTTTTTTATTTGACAGTTTAGAGAATCTTTTATTAAAACTTGAAAAGTAACCATTTCAAATGGAGTGTCACTTAATTCGTATGACTTTAATAATGTTAATTATCCTTTATTTTTTACAAATTAAAATAGCACTTTAATTGATTGCTTCTTCGAGCTATACAGTTCTTCTGAAGCTCGACAAACTAGCAGCCTATTGTGAGTTCATTAGCTTTCTCTAAACGCGCTATTAAATTACCAATAACATTCTCCAGAGAATATACTGATTGAAATCCGTAAAGGAACAATAGACGAATTTCACTCTGACCCATTGTTCATTCTGACTGACAACCAACCATATTGCATTAAGAACGTAAATCTTCGCGCAGCAACCGGGTCATGTTTTTGTGATAATACCACAAAACCGCCTCCTACGGGCGTTTAAAATAAAAATTCATACGAACAATTTTTAATAGTACAGCTTTAATGGGATATTCGGTTGCCCATACAATGGTTAATGAAAAATTTATGTAGTCGTTTTAATGAAATTTTAATCCTCTGATAAGAAGATTATTTTACAACTGGTGCTAGATTTTGTGAATAATATAGGGATACTCGTTATAAATGTGAAACTCGTCATAAATATTAAATAATACCGATAATATATTTAAAATAATACCCATAATGAATATAAAATATGAGTTAAAAATAATGATAAATACAAAATGATATTTGCAATGAATAATACAATATTTGTAATGAATGATGGAATTAAATCCTTCTGATTTCTACATTTATAAATTAAAAAGGTTTGTGAAGTGTAAAAAAATTCAGTTTGAGAGACGATCAGCCAACGTTCTTCAGTAAACACGTTAACTTATTTATTTGATCAAACATCACAAATTAATTTTAACATGGTTACTATTTGTATATTGTACTTATATTATAATATGTTGTGTACAAAATACGGAATCCAGTAATGATAAAAATTGTCAAATATTTTCTCCACTGTTGCATAAAACTACGTACTTGCATATCTGCAGTCTAATGATAGGTGACGAGGATCACTTATCTTTCGGGTCACTACGAGCATGTTTCTAATAGGTCTGTTTGCCCCTTCCATCGTCTCTTGTCCTTTATGATCCTTTTTTATCCCCTCCGTTGCGAACACGGATCGATACTACGTCCGAGCATCGTTCCTCGTTAATTAGAAAGGTGATACCCATTAATTATAGTTCGAGAATCGGCGGCCTGGTTGCGGTTCGCTCTACAATTAAGGCACGCTAATTGAACGCTTCCAATTATCAAGCCCCGGGGAGTCGTTGACTGGTTGCAAGAAAAAAAGCTTGCGTTCGCGGATATCGCTATTTCGCGAAGACGAAATAGCGGCGTGACACGAAAAAATCTTTCGATTTGCACGACTCGTAACGACCCCTCGGCTTTCCTTCCGTTTCCGCGACTTCATGGAAATTATCTTTCACCAAGGGTTCCGCTCCCCCTTTTCTCTACTGTTTCCCTTATTCACGTTCGGTCGATTCGTTATTTTCTCGCGGACCCTTTCGCTTTCCTTGCGATCTGTATTTTATCGCCGCTGATTGTCGACCTCCCTTTTGTATGCAGACTCGTGCGAGTCTGCGTGAAATATTTAACTACCGAATAAATTTATAATACGGTAACATAACAATAAATAACGTGTTACAGTGTGAGAAGTCAAATACTGCAATCAACTCTTATATTTTAGTCTAGAGATACTTAACCTAACCTAAAAACTTCTTCATTCGGAACTTGATTATTTCTTAATAAATTTTAAACTGCTTCTAACTTAAGATATCTTGTTCTCATTTATGTTGAACTACTTTGCATACTCATAACGGTATAAAACGGCGATATCGATTAATTTTATAGTTTTTAATAATAAATGTCCGGTTCATGATGCTGGGGAACATGGCTGTATTGAGTTATAGTGTTAATGCACTTCAAGTGTCACATAGATATAGATTATCATTTTTATGGCACTTTCAACGGTACTTTTCTATAGGCGTTAACGTGAAGCGTAAATTTTTATAATGCAGGCAATGGGATCATAACAAATGTTACTTGATACCTAGTACACTGTATGTTACATTAAGTGTCCCATAAGTTACCATAAAATGGTAAAATACTTATAACTTATTTCTAAATGTAGAACTTATTTATTTAAAAATAAGTGTATGAAAGTCTCCCGGTAATTAATTGATAATTTGAACGAATAATTAAATTTTGAATAAATTCATTATATTACTTAAAATATTTTTAACTACCTAGAAATTAATCAAACTAAATCGTTTTCTATAATTCCAATTCTAATTATTGCATCCGAAATTTGAATTGCTGTCATTCGTATAATACTCTAATTTAAAACAACGTATCGACAGTTCAATCAACGTCATTTACACCGAGTTTAATCGCTGCAATCGACAAACTAAAGAACTTACGATCGGATTAGGTCCGATTAGTAACATCGATTACAAGGAGATTAGTTGCAGTCATAAAATTCGCGCCGTTAAAACGTAACACCAAAGGATACCGCTATATTTTGCATAATTAAACGGACACAGGTATAGCACGATTCTGGGAACACGGTAAACGCATTTAGCGAATCAATCGAAATCCAACGGTATGTGATTAGATTTCACGCATGATCGGAGCTGACCATTTCGGCAATTGATACCGCATAATGCTGCATGCACGTTTGAAATCGATAAACGTATATTGTTATACGCCGTTAGGTACCGCGATAATCGTTTCACCGTGCCCCTTTCGTTTCTTTCGATTCACGTAATAAACGTGCCATGTTGTGATCAAACCAAACCAAATGCAATTTGCATCGATTTACGAAAATTTTCATTTTTCCTACGAAAACTTGAACAATAATTTCTTTATAAAGCTTACGTACTGACTTCTATTAAATATTCAAAGCATGTTTACCGAAAAATAAAAATGAATTTCCTTTTTATGTACAGAATAAAGCAAACGGCAATAAAGGCAGCAATGTGAGGTTAGCTCCAGTGGATGCAACTGCTGGGGAAATTAAAAAGGGGTTGAAAATACAAGAGGTTCTTTACAAAATTGAAAAAGTCAACGACATTAACACTATATTGTATTGCGTTGAATATATGCTTTTTAAAAATTATGCACTTTTTGTGTCTCAGATATAAATTAGCTTCATATTTTGCTATCGTTGAAATTATCAGAATCGTTTATTTTTTTAAACAATTTATTTTATTCATATTAACATAATATATCATAATATATTTTATACATAGAAGTTATATAATATATGTCTTAAAGCAGTATTGTTTTAATAAACGTATAATATACGAAACATTTTTTTATCATTTCCCGAAAATGATTTGGGGATTGAAAAACATGTGGTTCTTTAAAATAGCTAATTAAATTAAATTGAAATTGTCATGCAATAAAGTTGACATATAAGCAGCTGCTGTTAGGGTAATGATATTTGTACGTTCCTTAAAAATTTTCGAAAGTATATGTTATGGAAAGTTGCGAGGCAGAAATGGAACGACGTAAACGTTGTGTGGAGGTGGGTCCATGGTCACCGATTTCGACGCTGACTCTGCGGTATTTTTTAAATCGAAAACACGATGACTTCACGGTCGCGTTCCCAGCGCCATCGATCAGCCCCGCAAATTGCTTTCGTACAAATTTTTTCTTTTCCGCTTCCGTCTCGAGCGTCGCGGTCTCGCACGTACAGAAGGTCTCGCTCACCCCGCCTTTTCCATCCACCTGCTCAGCCCTTGGAAAGTTCTTCGGAGCGAGAAGCCGACGCGGCTGGATTCCAAAGTACGGATTTGTTTTTCCACGTCGCTATTTACTTTTTCACGGCGGCGTGCACAGGATGAATGAGGAAGGAAAGCTCGAAGGGTGGAGGCTTCCTCTCACCCCCTCCCGTTTACACCCTCTCTCTCGCTCTCTACCCCTCTTCGTGGGGTGTTCTTTCCTCTTATCACGCTTCTCCCGCATTCCGTCTGACTGCGTGCTTCCATCGAACGCCAATGATAAATGGTTATTGGAAATAAAGTTATGCGCCGCGTCGGCGCTAATGTTGCGAAACGCTTCGAAACTGGGTAAATTGGATTTACGAGCTACCGATGCTTGACGTTGCGTGTAACATTTCGTCCGACCCCCTAACACACGCACTTTTGGTTTCCTGGATTGCGCGAGCAAGAATATTGCAATCGGGTGACTTGTATAACGCAGTCTCGCTATATGGCGCTGCACGACGCTGTTGCCCTAAGAAAAGCTATAACCTGAAAAAGTTACCTTTGTATTAAATTCACTTCTGAAGAATGGTTCAAAATTTGCAAGCTCCAGATTTCTATATAATCTAACCTTGAAAATTACAAATTTCTTGAAAATGAAAAAATAGAAGTTCTCCTGTTTTCGTAGAATATTTTTTCAAAGACTGACGGAATCCTAACATTCTCAATTTTCTGAAAAAAAAAATTAAGGATTTCAGCTGGTAGATGAACAGCTCGAAATTCGATCGTACTAAGTTTTTATTCGTTCTAAGGAAATTCGACGAAAGACACGTCACGAAAGAGATGCATTCTTTAATATCGTATCCGCTGAGAAGGGGAAAAGTTTCGTGAAGACCCTTGTTATTTTTCTTCCTTATAAGTATCCTCGAATTTTTTCGTTGTATGTGGACTCAGTTGCAGGATCGTGCTTCAGCGTAGAGCATCCTAATAAAGCGAGCAATAGAAATGAAACACAAATCGTGATTTCATGGAAAAGAGAACATGTATGTCAAAAAAGGTTTTACATAGTCCTGTTTGCTGTATAGGATTTTATAGAATTTTTAACTTCGACAGAATGAAAATTTATAATTGAACTAATTTATGTTGTATTATTACTGTATTTTTTATTAATTGTTGTACTAATATGATATATGTTCTTTGTTACAGGGATAAGGTGTTTAGGCTGAATCTTAGCAACATCAGTCACTCGAACTGTGAGGTAAGTGTCTTCATTCAAGTACACGTTTATTGACACTGGAGTTATTTGATTTCAAATTGAGAATAAAATGAAGAATATGTAAATGGATAATGAAAGATGAACTTACATATAGAAGTACTTGCAAAAATTTCATATGTTGGTGTCAAACAATAGTACATTGAAACCTGAAGCAAGGGGTTTGACTAGTTCGATAGCTCTAGTGTTAATATACCTACACTATATTAAATAAATAGATTAGTAAATATGTAGTAGATTAGTAAGTATGGCCATACTATTGCAATTATAACCACTTCCACATATATTTTAACGTAAAAAAATTTGACCTTCCATCAGTTTTGATTCTGATACAAAACAATAAACTCCTCATAAATTACCGAATGCATCAACTCTACCCATCTCAAATATACACCACAATAATAAATCTTCATCTAATCTTCATCTACTCCTACAACCACCCAATGAATTTCTTCATATCCCAAATCGAACACTGCCTTTGTTACCCCAATTGGTAGCGTCAAAACCGCCTTCTGTCGCAGCATCACGCTTCGATTAGCATCAAACGTCGCACGACCCCACCCTTCTGGTTCCTCTGTCACTTTGGTCCGATAAAACGCGTGATCCTGCCCCGTAAATCCGAAAAACGGGTCTTCGTCGTTCCCCATAAAAGTGTCAATCACGTTGGACGAAATGTCGTCTGCATCATCGCGACAGCTGACGACTCCGACCCGTTAAGCGATCCATTGTAGGCGAACTGTATCCCAACTTTTCCACCAGGCTTTTTTCTTTCATCCCGCCTGGATAGGAGCGTTTCGTGTCGAACAATCGACGTTCAGCTTAATGCACGCCGCTGAAAATGGACTTGCCACGCTGAAAATCCCTGATGTTTCATAGGACTGTTTTAGAGGCTGCCTCTCTCGATTCTTGTTCGTTTTTTCGCCGTTCTCATAGAAACACTATACAATTTTCTCTTCTTTCAACGATTTTGTTTCCTGTTTTTGGGGGACATATGTAAGACGGTTTCACTTCAAGCTTAATTTAGGGGATCTTAGGTGACGTGTCATGGTGATGTGTATTCGTGGTATTGCTTTTGGAATTTATTGAAATTTATTTGGAAACATCCTTAAATTCCCACAGTCACAAATTCCTAAATTCTCAAATTTCTGCCTCCCCAAATTCCTACGCTCACAAATTCCTAAATTCCTAAATTTCTACCTCCTCGAATTCCTGCACTTACAAATTCCTAAATTTCCAAATTTCATCCCCAATTTCCCACTTCCCAAATTTCCATTTACCCAATTCTCAGAGTTCGCAAAACTTGCAAACCTCCCAAATATCTACATCCCCAAATTCTCAATCGCACCCCAAAATTTTCCAATCACTTCCTCAAATTCCTAAAGTGGAGTCAGTCAATTGACTTTAAGCTCAACGTCAATATAAGGGTAGCAATTTTCGACCATATCTGCATCAAATTGCGTTGGAGCAATAAAATTCCGAATGCAATGTAACGTTCTCGGGACTCGAATTTTATAGCGTGAGATGTTTGCAGCTGGAGGGTCATGATTTTGAACGAGTGGTCGTTTACAAAAATCAATTCTCGTGGCGGAAGCACCGTTCTCCGCGAAATGTCACGAAATCGAAAGCGAGAGAGCCGTTTGGTCGTTCGAGATAACCCGTTATCGAATTCGAGCAGATCGCGGACAAAAGGCGAGGCAGTAACGAAGAAGAACCGGAGGAATGAAGGTTAATGGCAATTTCGATGGAGGCGTTTCGTGTAACGGTAGAAAGAAGACAAAAAAGACGAAGAAACGAGCCTTCCACCAGATCGGATTTCCGTCTTCCGACAAACCGTTGCAACAAACCGATCGAAAGTTCGACCCCCGACCATCTCGAAACTTACGATCCCTGGAAGGGGTTAAAAAGCAATTTTATTTCAGTGGTCAACAACCGGACACCGAGTGACCATCGACACGCCAATTTCACTGCCACTATCTCTGTTCCAAGAAAGCAATTTAAATTCGATTTGAACGAGTTCACTGGTAATCCAACTGAAATGTTACATGGAATTCTTGTAAAATGGAGGACAGTCATATATCAAAATAACACGAACATTAGAACTTTATTCTTCTTCAGCAGAGATCTCTTTAGCAGAACATTTGCATGTGGCACCCCTATTTGCATATTGTACATGTGTATTATGCACGTGTGTGTGACTATAATTTAGTACAAAAATATTTTAGGATTACTCAGATATATAAACTACAGAAACATCAGTCTGGAACATCGACGACTTGAGTCATTTAAATAAAATATCAAATAACCCCATAAATTTTAAGGAAGCATAATTGTCTTAATATACGAAAAAATAAAAGGTGTATGAACAAACAATACAAACGTGTATGAACTAAAAAGAAACATCAGTTTGGAAGATCGACGACATTGAATCATTTAAATAAAATATCCAATAACCCCATAAATTTAAAGGATGCATAATTGTCTTAATATACGAAAAAATAAAAGGTGTATGAACAAACAATACAAATGTGCATGAACTACAAAGGAACATCAGTCGGGAAAATCGACGTCCTGAATCATTTAAATAAAATATTTAATAACGCCATAAATTTTAATGAAGCACAGTTGTCTTAATATACGAAAAGATAAAAGGTGAGGTTTATACAAACATGGTAATTACAGTCATTTTACAGTGATGCTTTTTCCGCTTCATCGCAAAGGGCAGTAACTTTGAACTGCCGGAATATCGGAAAAATGATTGTTCATTGTTGCGCTCAATATCCGTGCAAGTGCGCCGAAATCCCAGCAGATTTCGCGCGAAATGGACGTCGGTAAAGTGTTTGTATACGCGAAAACAAGAAGAGTCACAGTTATTGATGACAAGCGGGGATAACGAGAGCGTGGGACGTTATTAAATTTCCAGCGGATTGTAGCCAATAAATTGAAAAGCGTTTGGACAGAAAAAACACGCGTATACGCGCGATACGGCGTCGAATTTTTCGAGTCGGTGAAATGGGAAAGAAACGAAGGATCGTAGAACGTAAGGGAAAACAATTTTCAAGGTATCGAAGGTACATCGAGGAGTAGCTTTTCACGTATCTTTACCTTCCACGGTCCATTGAAATCGGCCATTGAATTCCATCGAACTCCCTCGGGAGGGGCGAAGAGTTTCGAAGTGAAAAAAAGCGTCTTTCTCCATACCGGTTCTATGGTCGAGCACAAAGAACGGCGAAACGACGTTCCAGCGTGGGGTAGAAAACGACGATTTGAAAATGCAATTATTCCAGCAACGTATCGTTGGTCGTGCCACCTGTCGCGAAACCGAAAACCACCCCAAGTAGAGAACGAAAAAAGCACGGGAAAAAGAGAAGGAGAAACAGAAACAGACCGTGGCGGCACTGTGTCCGTCTCTTTGGCCAGATGTGACGATTGTGACGACACGGAAAAATAATTTAAAAGCGGAGAACAACGAACGATCGGTGGTTGGGGGTCGTAGCTTAAAAAAGGGTAACGCTCGAGTTTCGCCCTCTCGATTGGCCTAGCCAAAATGGATCGAATTTCCAGTCAGACCTTTTTTTTCCTCTGCCAATTTTCTTTAATTATCGTCCGGTTTGCGAATAGTAAATGGATGCGTGTAAACGTTCGCGTTTTGTGTTTCTCCCGCGTTCTTAATGTCGGTGTCCTGTGTGTAAAATGGACTTCAAATTGACACGGGAAAATTATTGCAGAATTGTAAAGGGGGTAAGGGGAGGTGTAAAGAGGAGGTCTGTTAATAAATTGTTTTACTTTGGAGTTATTTCAAAATTCAAGATGGTTGATGTTCGATATCATCTCAAGTTTTGCCATGAACGTATAACATGTTCTATATGTCCATTACAGAAATGGAATGTTTAAATTATCGTCACGCTAGGAAGAGGTTATCGACAGAAATTACATTGCTGAATAATTACTAATATATATACTGAAATTATATCTTTTTTCAACTCAATTTACAAGTGGACCACATTTTCTTTATTATAATAAATTTCACAGGAAATATTTGGTACAATATAATTTACCCCAGAATGAAATTTAAGGTTAGAGGTTAAAATCGAGAGTATAAAATACCACAAAAATACAGCTAATATTAATGACAATCGATGCTTGAATTCCATTGCCTTAAATATCCAAAACCTAAAACCAATAAATAATTCAAAAGTTAAATAAACTGTGCATAGAAGTCCATGTTTATCGATCTTTACACCCGTTTTTTCCCTATGTTTGTCACAGCTAAATTTACGCATGTATCTCTAAAAGACATCTGCACGATTCCATCGAACACGAATATAGATGTATGCAGGTGAAGTTTATCTTTTACCATGTCACGCTATGAAGCCGTGTTACGTTAAAGCTTGGCCAGCACGAACGGTTACAGCGAAACAGTTGCAATAAAATTCCGTAGCAAAGCTGACGTTACCGCAGAGAGTTTAGTTCCATGGAGGATTCAACGGAAATGCGGTTTAGAGTTTGCTTACCGCGGCGTCGTTGCAACGTGACCAAACATTAACGCGTTCAACGTTCCCCGTTTGATTTTCGAGCTTCGTTCACTTATCTCGGAAATTCTATTTCGCTCTTTCGTTTTCGTTAAGGCGCAATCACGACAGTTTTCATTTCGACGAAGTTGCAATCTCGGGGATCCTTCGTTTAACGAATTTCCACGTTTTGACTAGTTGCCAACGCTTTTTAATTTTTGGTTGGATTTGGACGGAAAGGAAGGTTTAATATTTGGGGATGCGGTAATTTCAGAATTTGCAAATTTGAGATGCGGTATTTTGGAGTTTAGAATTTTAGAATTTAGAAATTTGGGGATGTGTAAATTTGGAAATTTGTAATTTTTAAATTTAGCAATTTGAAGATATTAATATTTCTAACATGGAAATCAATTTATAATTTCAGAATTTGTATTTCAGTATTTAGGAACGTAAGAACTTACAAAAGCAAAACTTGCA